TTCCCGACAGTTATTTATTAAATGTCTCCACACCTATTATTATTTTCTTTTAATTACAACAAAGGGCATCTTATTGGCATCTTTTATTTATAGCAGAAAAATACTTTTAAAACTTTTCTAGAAAATAAAACTCACTCGGGGGAATTTAATTGGTCTCCAAAATAAAGGAGTTCTGATATTTTGAGGCTGAGAGTCCAGCATGGTTATTTCTACCTAATTGGACTAGTAGTTAAAAACCAGATGCATATAATCCCATTTTGGCTTAAAATATATATCAACATAAACATGCATGTTAAGTGCACACATGCACTTGTAGGAAGAAGATCCCACTTACAGTCTTGTCACTTTTTAAATCTTGTAAGAGATACTGTTGGTGCCTTACCCACATCTCCATGGCCCATCCCCCAAAGTCACCTACAAACAGTTTCCTCTTAGGCAAAAAGCTTCTGACCTCACCTGGGACTACTCTTTGTCCAGGAGAAGCCTACCCTCTCCAGCTCTCCCTGGTCACAGCAACTTCATTTCCTGTTCATTCAAGAATGAACTTCTGCCCACATCACATTACTTAAAATAATTTCCTCACCTTCTGCATGAATCTTGTCTTCTTCAGAATCAGCGGGAACTCCTCAAAGGATAACCTCCCTGATTGTTCACCCTACCACTTATCATCAAACTCTCACCTGCATGAGTGCAACAGTTTTCCTAATAAGTGTTTTTGTTTCCCATTTTCTCTCCTACAACCCATTCTCTACACAACAGCCAACGTGATCTTTTAAAAACATGAATCAGTTAGTCTCACTTAAAATCAGCCAGTGGCTTCCTCTTGCACTTGAAGTGAAGTCCAAACACCTCACTTTAGCCTATGATACCCCAGGGTATCTGTCCTCCACCTGCCTGCCTCCTTGATTTTATCTCATACTGTTTGTTCTCTCCCTCATTTATTCCCCTCGAGCCATTCTGTTGTTTCCTGTTGCTCAAACACACCACCCAAAAGGCTTTTGCACTTACTCCAAAGTTTTGCATAGTTTGCTCCTTCTCATATTCAAATCTCAACTCAAATATCACCTCATCAAAAAGACCTTCTCTGCACTGTTTAAAGTAGCCATCTCAATCACATTTGCTCATTTAATTTTCTTCACTGCACTTATTTTCTAAAATTGTCTCACTCTGTGAAACTTCTTCACTGTCTGTCACAACTGGAATCTAAATTCCATGATACAGAGATCTCATCTGCCTTATTCACAAGAAAGCCCCTGTGCCTGGAACTCAGTAGTTCCTACATACTCAAGTAATCTTTAACAGGTAAGTATTACAACATGGTACCACATACAGGCCACTCAACACTACCACAAAATGTTCCTCTATGCTTGGTAACATTAAAACATTTTTCCACGAAAAAACTATGTGAATTTATTCCCGCTTAGTGAATCAGTCCTAACAGGAACAAAAACATATTTGAAGGGACACATTAATATTCCTCCACCGAAAACAGGTGCCAGTACACTGGCACTGCAATGAAAATGGTAGTGTTCGTACACAACAATCAAGGTCAGTGAATCCTTATTTACACTGACTTTTCAGCCTTTGGATGGATCTCACCAACTGACACACCACACTAAATTTAAAATCAAACTTTTTTGTTTCTATAAGTAATCGTAATTAAAATTGGAGTCTAAAACATTTTTTAAATCTCAAATTGGTCTTTGAATGCCCATCTCTAAAAGTTCTATTTTCCTTCTTTACTTATGCCATAATAAATTATTTCCCTTCTTTTGAAACTGTGTGGTCTCTCATATTATATTGGAATGCCACCTCAAAATAAATAACCAGAATTTCAACATTTAAAGATTTCTTTACTAATCAGGAAGTAGGGACTAGCAGAACTTCTCTGCTTTGTCTTTACTCTCTCTAACAGAAACACTCCTTTGTGGTCTTGATGATTCAAAGTCAAACCTGTTCTGAACCCAGTAGATAAGAAACTTTTAGGGCCTGTTTCTAACTGTTCGTGAGGGAAGGCCACTGCGACAAGTAAATAACAATGGAAACTGAATAGGTGCTAATAGAATTTTTGTTGTTTGTTAGACCTTCTTTTAAATTTTATTTCCCCACAACTATTTTATGGGGTTCAATTACAGTAAATAATAGATATGATACATTAAGGAGAACTACACATTTCACTTAACTGCATAAAAATCTTTTTGTACTTTATATTTACTTGGAAGTAGAATGAGGTAACATGTTTATTAAGTTGTACTTTCATGACAGTTCCCCCTCCCTCCCTTACACACACTCACACACATACACACACGCACCATGTGTAAGTTTGCAGGGCTACCCAGAAACCTAAAATCCTTCTATTGTTTTTCTTTCCCGAGAAGAAAAATTGTTTGGCGATATGATACTTGCAATATAAGTCATTACAGGACTGATGTTACAGTTGTTACACAGCACACAGTATTGAATCTACTGAATGAAAAGGGAGCACAAAGGGAATTTCCAAATGCAGCTGCTATTTCCCATTTGTTAAATCCTTTTACTGGACCGTATAAGTACACAGCTGGGAAATACTATAGAGTGGGAGTTAAAACAAAATATTTTGGCTTCCAGACATTCAGAATATACAATGGGTCCAGTGGAAAGCAATGCCTGACTTCAAGAGAAAGTGAAAGTTTGAAAACATTTTCAACAAGGATGATTTCTTTTAGATTAATATATAACATATTCATGAATTTAAACTATTTTATATTACCATAAATTCCACTTAAGATAAATTTGGCAAGCATGTTATTAATATATCTATTTTTCTGACAAACTTTTAGATAAAGCTTTGAGAATAATTCATGGAAGCAATTTGGCACCTGCTAAGAGACACACAAAATTATGCTGAGAAAAATAAGCAAAGTGTTCTCTAAAAAAGTAAAATATGAACTGTATTATTTCTGCCTTAACCTACATTTTCCAGTTTATTATTATCTGTCCATGGCTATATCTGGCATAAAAGCAACAATATATCTTGAACCCACCCCTTCTCTCTATCCCATCAGCCTCCACTCTAATCCAAGCTACTATTATCACTTACCTGAATTTCTAAAATAACCTCCCAACAGGTCTGTCTTCCTCACTTTGCTCTGTCTCCCTCCCATCCATCCATACTACAGCCAGAATAATCTGTTTGGAATACTCTTAAACCCTTCAATGCCTTTCCATCATACATAGAATCAAATCTTACTTCTGTAACATCTCGTTGGATATAGCTCATACCAATCTCTCCAACCACATCTGATGATACATTGCATCCTCTCTCATTACACTCCAGCCACCAAGACTATCTTAAATTTCCTAAAACTCAGCTATATTTTGTCACCTCAAATAATTCATACAGGCGACTCCCTTTGCTATTTTTACTCCTTCTTCTACTCTTTGCCTGGCTCACTCCTATCATCCTTAGGTCAGTGAGGGCATTCCTACCTATCCATTCTAAATTAGGTTTGTGCCATTACATTCTCACAGAGCACTCTGTTCTTCTTCTTCCTAACACAAACCACAACTATAATCATACATCTGTGTATATATGCAAGCATATATGCAAGTTTGTTTGTTTGTTTGTTTGTTTGTGTTCCTTCTCCTGGATACAAGCTCCATGAGGGCACAATCGTGCACGTTTTGTTCACCAGCACCTAGAAGAATGCTGCACCCAGAGAAGGTGCTACATAAATATTGGTTGAAATAAAAATAAAACGCAACTCTAATATCTTGCCAAAAATTCAATGGCAGTGACTGGATATCTATTCCTCTATGCTGTCTTGGAGGTATAAAATGAACCACTGAAGTTCAATCAGAAACACAGACTTTTAGTCTTGCTTTATTATATACCTTCTCTCTTTGCCCTATTCAAGGCAAATAAATCTTCCGGTGGATCTAATTTTATAATGTTGATACCCTCTGAATCTAAAGTTAGTCTAGAAAAGTCTTGTTTTTTCTTGCAATCCTCTAAATCTCACCTACTGCTCAAAAGCACTAGTTATGTCTGAAAAATCATCTGAAAAAAAGATGATATATTATGAAATCAAGTCTTACAATTGGTTCTGAGACATTAAGCATAGTGCAAGAATTTAAATATATGTTACTAGTAGTAAAGGCATTTTTAATATTACCTTATTTTTAATTAAGGAATACATTTTTTTCTAATTGCCCACCAAAATATTTTTCACTAATTAACATAAGCAAAAATTAAGAAAAATAAAACAGAGTTTAAATTTCCTAATGAAATAAAATATGTTAAGGTTTTGGTCAGTTCTAGATGGTGAAAAATGAGTAGTTTTGCTTTAAGTTAGACAGTGAATATTTCTCACTACGGTTTCTGTTTTGATGGTTAAAGACAGAATGGAACATGAGAAAGCTGGCTAACACCCTGCATGTGTCTGATGTTGTTGCTTCTGCCTTTAGAGAGAACTATTCCAGTCTGATGGAATGACACTCAGAAGTTTTGCATGTGCTTTTGAAATTAATATTTAGGAACATAAATGAGAAAAATCCTCATTATAAGTCAAGAATGGCTGCTAAAAATGAAAACTACCTGCATTTCCTCCTGAAGATGTATTCTCCATATGACCTCATTCACATAGACATATTTGCTTAATACAATTTGTCAATATTAAAACACAGCCACACTTTATTTGATCATGTGTATTTTGTGGTATTATCAACTTCATCACCTTAAATTCAGAGATCCAGAGAATATGATAACCAAATCTCCCCCCAAATTAAATTAAACATATTTTGTCAAGGTGACCTAATAATGGACAAAAACTAAATCACAAACTATTTTTCAATTTTTCCCAGTTAGAATAATTAATAATATATTTGGTGGCTGTTTTATGATTTGAGCACAATGAACTCTAGTAGTATGTATTTTGAACTTTCTCTAAAACATTTATTTGTAATGAGACCATACTAACCAACATACACTTAGTGACAGTGGTTAGATTTTAAACGCTCACCATTCTTTGCTGAGACGATAGAACACTGTCCCAGTCAGCATCTTGTTGAATGGTATTGACAAGTGTTGGTAGCTCCTCAGAGTGAGGTTTGTTGTGCATTATGGGGTGCAGAGGCAGATGGGAGGCCACATGTTGATCACTGCTCTCTTCCTTTTCCCTTGAGGTCAAATCTTGGGTCATCGCTTCCTCTCCATCAGCTGAGCAGGCAAATGGAGAGGTGGCTTGCTTGGAAGACATTCTTCTGCAGAAGTAGAAAACAGCATGAATTAAAAAGGACTGTTGATGACCCTCAAAAAACCCTAAAAACCTTACATTTCACTAATTGAAAAAAGAAGAAAAGTTCTTTAACTTCAGAGATGTTTACTCTAAACCACTCTAAACCACTGAAAAAGAACTCTTAGCTTATCTATTCCACTTCCCCTTTTTTATTTTAACTTGCAAAACTCTTCCCAGTAATTGCTGCATATTTTAGCCTACCAATCCATAAATGAAGTTTTTATGGAACATGTTTTCATTATGTATAGTATATGTATGTGTGTATTCCCCACCCCCACTTCTCCCAATTGGATTATAAGCTTCTTGAGAGTAATTTGGTTGATTTGTCTAGCAATGAAAAAAAAAATGAATAAACTGGGAAATGACCCAGTCTGGAAGATGATTTGTAAGTACATATATCCAAATTTCACTTAAGCTTTACATCAGAATACAAGAAGTCTGTGTAAGAAAGTAGAATCAAAAGAGTAAGTAATCTGTGATGAGAGTCCCAGGCCAATTTGGTCCTGAATTCTCAGTTTACACCTTGCACTGAGTGCTAGGTCTAACACTGTGCAGTGTCAATGTGATCCTTTTCTAAAGCCCTTCAAGCTGTGTCAACTGCTGTAATTTAACTTTTAGGTGACATATTGATTGAGTGGCTGATTCTGTTAGACTAGTTTAAGGCAGTTTTATAACATGTGAATTGAGCATATAAAACAACTATGCCTTTTTTAATATTAGAAAATATAAACAAGATTCAAAGCACTTAGTATGAAAATAGTAAAATGTCTACAATGCGTAATATTTTCATTGTAGAAAAAGCAATTACTGAACATCCATCTATGTATCTACAAGTAAACATTGATTATATTCAGCTTGTTTGTTTGGTCTCCAGTCTGTGCTTTCATATACAATCAGAAAATCATTATTATTAAACAGGATTTCAAAACTTCTACAATATCACCTTATCAAGATAATTTTCTTAGCAAAATATTTAGAAATAAAACCACCAAAAAATTTTATTTTATTTTTTAAGATTTTATTTCTTTAGTTTCTGAGAGAGGGAAAGGAAGGGAGAAATGGAGGGAGAGAAACATCAATGTGTGTTTGCCCCTCACACATCCCTCACCAGAGACCTGGCCCGCAACTCAGGCAGGTGCCCTGACTGGGAATCAAACCAGCAACCCTTTGGTTTGCAGGGCAGCACTCAGTCCACTGAGCCACAGCCAGGGCAAAACCACCAAAAATTTTAAAATTAAAATAAGAGGCAATTGAGCATCTTTTCTAAAACTTTATGTCATTTTTGGTTTTTAGCATATTTAGCTCTAAAACTGCTGTGTAACGAAAGGAATAAAATCCCCACCTTAATTGCTCTTTAACATGAATTGATTTCATACCATTTTTTTAAAAAATGCACAAATCAGTTAACATAGGAAACCACATGAGCATTTTTCAAATTAGCAAATCATTAACTTGCTAGTACTGTTTCTACAGACAAATAAATACTGATTAAAGGGTCTAGAAATCTGAGATTAACAGTTAAATTTACAAATCTGTCACATGCTTTCATGAATATTGCAGTGAAGGAAATATCAAGTGCAAAGAAAAATAATTAAGTTAATTCCAATTTAAACAGTAGTTTTTATGTAGCAGCCCATGTTTCACATAGGATTTAACAGCTAATGCTAAATTTCTCACAATTAATGAGGGGGCTCAGATTTAGTATCCTACAGTGAAAAAAAATTAAGATAAGATCAGCTAATCTAATTATGCACAGTTTTAAATAAAAGTATTATAGGTTTTTTAAGTGCTTTGAAACATATTAAAATACTGACACCTATGTAGAATAATCATTCTACTAATATAAAAATTTCATCTATTAGACTTGATACTAGACAATAAAATGGAGAAGGAAGTACAGAAGAATGTTTCTATCTTCTCTGAAAAGAAATAAAATGTTCTAAAGAGTGCTATATCAAAAAGGAGGTACATATATTCTTGACCAATTTCTATAAATACTAACAAATGGACTAATGTATACACACATAAGGAAAATGATACCAAAGTATGTTTCTTAGTCCACGTGAATCACTCAGGGGTGTCCAAGCTGTGGCCCGCATGTGGCTCGGGATGGCTATGAATGTGGCCCAACACAAAATCATAAATTTACTTAAAACATTATGAAATATTTTTGTGATTACATGTCATAGTGTATTTTATGTGTGGCCCAAGACAACTCTTCTTCTTCCAGTGTGGCCCAGAGATGCCGAAAGGTTGGACACCCCTGCTAGAGCTTACCTCACTGGACTCATAAATACTACAGTAAAACCAGGCAAATTATAACTGTCACACAAGTTTATCAAGAGCTTGCCATAAACAACAAGAATGTTTTTATAGTTCAGATAATGACAGTATCAATAATGTAATCATTCACATTAAAAACAAAATAATGAATTTACTCCTGCTTTTTAAAACAGCTCAAGAAAATTGAAAGTCATAATCCAAAACTCATAGGGACTTAGCTCCCCAACAAACATCCTCTTTGTTATAAAGTGACTTGGCTCCTTCCAATAGCAATATCTGTGATTGTTGCTTTAGTGTAAATTAATCATGACAGAAAATGCAAAAGTCTCTTAAGAATAATTTCAACTGGAAACTGCACAAGTGAACAATAGTGTACAATCCTAATTAAACACAACCATGCAGCTGTAAAAATAGACTAAATCTGTCCAAAGCCATGAGTTGAGTTTAAAGCCTGGTTTGTTAGAGTGTTTTCTTAAGGAAAGCTGGGCCCTCAGCCTTAATCAGCCAATAAATTATTTCCTGCAATTACATTAAATAGAAAATTATCTTCAAATGGGGAGTGTTAATTGAAAATCAAAATTCAGAGGGAAGTTTAGAAATTACACGCTGAACACAATTAGTGAGGAAAAGCTTCACCTCTACTTCATCAACAGTCTTCTGGTGATTCCTCCAGTGACCATTCAGGAAAGCTACCTATTTACAACATCACATAATTTTCTTATTTTGTACCTACAAATACAAATGTACATCAAGGTTGAAAATAAAAAAATAGGCTTCTAAAAAAAAAACCACTATTGATTCTGACTGTTCAGCCACAGCTCACACCATCATTATGGCACAAGAAGAGGGGGAAGGTAGGACAATAATGCTAACAACCAAGGAAGGTATAGTCAACTTTGAAATCTCTGCCTTTAGCAAGGGAATTAAGATTTTGTTATTCTAAGAAGAATACTTTTCCATACTATATTTTACTTAAGTTTCTTGTGTTTACTATAGTTCTCAAATATGTTGTTAGCAGAGAAGATGATTTTTGTTCTTATTGCTAGCATTGCTCCACTCTGGGCATTTTCTTTTGATAAAAATTGCTGGGCTTATTTCATGTTTGTTGTTTATTTTTATTTTTAAAATGTTTTATTGACTTCTAGAGAGACGGAAAGAGAGAGTGAGAAAGGGGGAGAAAAACTTCCATCAGTTGCCTCTTGTACCGGGGTCGGGGGGTGGCCAAACCCCCAACTTAGGCATGAGCCCTGACTGAGAATCAAACCCAAACACTTTGGTTTATGGGATGATGCTCCAACCAACTGAGCCACACTGACCAGGGCCCAGGTTGGTTTTTTATTTGATTTTGTTGTAGTTTTTGTTTGGGGTGGTGGTTTCATTGGATTTTTCAAAGGAAAGTATGTACAAATGCATTTTAATGCACAGTTTATTAAATAAGCCAGATTCACTGATTAGATTCGATTTACTGATTATTTTTTGCACAATTACTTTATTAAAGAGTCCTTCAATTTACTGATTACATCCTCATTCATTTCATTTCTTTAGTTTAACGTTCCCTTTTAAAACATTTTACTAGACCAACTAAACAGTATTCTAGAAGCTGCAAAGCCTCTTGGTAATGCTTTTAATATAACCACTGCACCATGGCTACTCTCTTTATAAATTTATAAATCAAATATACACCTGTTTTAATGTTTTATAATGTCATATCAGATGATTACTTTTATTTTTAATGCTCATACCAGTAATTTTCCATTACAAAAACTTTCACGCCCAGGTTACGAGAATGGTATCTTACTTTAGCTGCTGCCATATATAACTAATATGCAAAAGAATAAAAATCCTTGTGAAAATGGTCAATCTCCATGTGACTTTACTTTGTTTTATTTTTGCACTATAACTTAAAAATCATTCACATGAATTGTTTTTTTAATTTGTAGTAAAAAAAATCTCCCTAGTTATACCCCCTGAAAACAGGGGGTTACAATGGAAGTGCTGACACAACCCTAACTAAAGCAGCGCAAATGTTGCCGCTATAATACACAAAATCAAGTTCTATTATTCTAAACGATCCTCGCTCATGGGATTTTTCTTTACTGTGCTCCCAGCCAAACTGCTGAAGCATGAAAAATTTAAATGCAATCAAATGCACCCAATTCTACTTTACTAGAACAAGTGTCTACAGTGGTACAATCTTAAAAGGAGATGCAACAGATTTGTTTGGTGTTTTTTTTAACTGTTTATTTATAATACAGTGCATTGGAGATAAAATAAAAGAGGAAATTACACTCACATGGTACCAGTGTATTGACTACACAGAGTACATTATAATCAGAGAGAAAAACTACATTGTCAACTTATCACATTGGTTAAACAAGATGGTTTTCTGGGGCATGGCTATTATCAAGTAAAACCTCCAAAGAGAATTACATATCTTTGGGACACATAAAACTAAATTCCCATCGTGTGTTCCCCGAGTTTGAAATGTCTCTGCCCAGCAGATCAAGTGAATTCCCAGGATGCCAGGCCACTGGAAAGAACTTCAGGGCTTAGGCCTTTTGGGAATGAGATTGTCAGGGATAAAGTCTCCTGTAATGGATAATGTTTTCTAGGAAGCCAGCAGGAGTGCCTCTGGAAAGACGATCATTATTTTATTCCAGTACCCCAGTATAAAATCTGAAT